GGTCTTGGCAAAAGTGAGTAACTCAGGTGTGTGAGCAACTGCCAATCCCCGACACACCGATGCGGCTGATGCCAATCCCTGACACACCAATGTGGCTGATGCCAATCCCCGACACACCGATGTGGCTAGAGAGGTGGAACAGACGCAACTATCTATAATTTAAACATGTTTTACACAACGCATGCTAGAGTAAACTGCATGCAAATTAACAGAAAGGTGCACCTATATTAGGTATACATTTTTTTTAAAAAAGAATGTAAGAAATACCTAAGGTGACAGAGAAATAGCGTTACCAGGGTTTATCTGAAGAAATTCTGACTAACTAGCGCGTCCAAAAGAGGAGATTCTGCTCAACTTTTCGTTCTGCAAACCCGAATATAATAAGCAGAGCAAGCTCTGCTAATAATACTAGCTGTTCTATCTTATATAATTATTTAAAGGTATTATCTATCTAGCTTATAAGATAAACTTATTTACATAAAGCTCTAAACTATAAATATAGACTATAATATTATAAAGTTTACTAAAAGGACTAATAGCTCTAATTATATCTTATTATATAGAATTAAGAGGTAATTTATTTACTTTTTTAAAGTCTATAGCTTTAAGATTTTTAAGATAACTTTTATATAAACTTAAAAATAAAAATGCTTATATAATAAAATTAATAATATAACTAAAATAGTAAACTTTTTTATTCTTAAGATTCTAATGCAGATTAAGTTTATTAGAATACTACTTACTAATTATATAATAAAAAGTGTTATTAGTGCTAGCATTATTTTTAATAACTGCTTCTAAATTTCTAGTAATTTTATTAGCAGAGCTTGCTCTGCTTATTATATTCGGGTTTGCAGAACGAAAAGTTGAGCAGAATCTCCTCTTTTAGACGCGCTAGTTAGTTAGAATTTCTTTAGATAAACCCTAGTAACGCTGTTTCTCTGTTACCTTATGTGTTTCTTATATTCTTTTTTAAAAAAAATGTATACCTAATGTAAGTGCACCTTTACGCTAATTTGCATGCAGTTTGCTCTAGCATGCGTTGTGTAAAACATGTTTAAATTATAGTTAGTTGCGTCTGTTCCACCTCTCTAGCCACATCAGTGTGTCGGGGATTGGCATCAGCCACATTGGTGTGTCGAGGATTGGCATCAGCCGCATTGGTGTGTCGGGAATTGGCATCAGCCACATTGGTGTGTCGAGGATTGGCATCAGCCGCATCGGTGTGTCGGGGATTGGCATCAGCCGCATTAGTGTGTTGAGGATTGGCAGTTGCTCGCACACCTAAGTTGCTCACTTTTGCCAAGACCACACCACAACAAACTTTATTATAGCCCATAACAACCCACTCTAGCACTATAGAGTACAGTACAGCCTGGAATATTATTTAGATACTACTTCTACTTCTTGCTTACACGTTTGCGCGTTATGCCTAGTCTAATTGCACTGTCCGCAGCGCCTTTAGAATTGCTTATCTACTTTAGCTTTGTCAGATTAAAGCACTGTTTCTAGGCTTCCTAAGATGAATAATGGGTTTTAGATATAATGTATGGGATGATGATTAATTGTATTAATTAATTAATGTTTCTTTTTCTTTTTGTCTGCTCTGCTTGTGTTGCTCAGCTTTGTTTTTCCAGTCTGAGTCCCTCGCGCACTAGCCCTATGCGCGACCAGCTGCAACATGCTGCAATTTGCAGCAACATACTGTTCGAGCTTATTGCTCGTACTATGTAGCAGCTTTCGTCCAGCGTTCCTCCTGTCTTGATAGTAGGTGCGCATATCTAACAAGCTTACACCTGCTTCTTTGCCTTTTTCCTATCACTGCGCGCCCTAAACTTATTTTAAGCTGTTAAGCGCAGGCCTTTCTAAATGTACCTGCCTTATTAGCTGCTTAAAGCTTAGTAATTTCCTATTACGCTAACACTAGCTTATGTACAATTATTGCTGCCCTTTGTAAGGCTTTTTTTTCTAGAGGCATTACCCCCCTAGAACCCTCTCTATACATAGAGCTACTTGCAACACAACTAATATCTACTAGAGATTGTTGCCTGCTGCTGTAATCTACTGTAGTTTGCTTTAATTTGCTATAGTTTGCCGCAATTTGCTGTAGTTTGCTGCAATTTGCTATAGTTTGCCGCAATTTGCTGTAGTTTACTATAATTTGCTGCAATTTACTTTATGCATTTCCTAACACTGCTAGGTAATCTCTTACTAACACCTCTAAACATTAGCCTATTATATTTAAACAGCAGTTAAAAAAGCTAAACTAGCAGTTGTGCAAGTAAAACAGCTTGTTAAGGTATTACATGTACTACATTAATCTTTGCAGTAATAGAGAGGCAGAGGCAGAGGTAGAAGCAGCGCTAGAGCTCCCTAGTACTCTAAGAAATTCCTGCAGAGGCAATAAACTACGCAAGCTGCAGCTCTACAACTAGGGCTTTAATGCTAAAACAATTAAATTAAAGATATTAGGTAGCAGTATTAGGCGTAGCGTAGCAGTATTAGGCAGTAAAAGGAACAGGTGCAACGCTAGAAAACGCAAGGTGCAAAGAAAAGAAAGACTATTATAAGAGTAGAAACACATTAAAAGCTAAAGCTAGAACATGTTCTTTTAATTACAGCTAATAATTAACTAATTTCTAGATAACTAATCTTAAATTTATATAAACCTTTAGTTTTTAAAAAATAATTTTTACTAACTTAATTAAAGCTAAAATTTAGCTAGCTATTATTTACTTTTAAGTATTACTTTACTTATAAGCTTACTTTATAATAAGTAATTTAGTTATATATAAGGTTTTTAGCTTAGCGCTTATATACTTTTTTAAAAATATAAAATAACTTATATTAAATAGCTATAAAAAGTGTAATAAGTAAAAAAGTATATAAATAGTAATAGTTTTACTATCTTTATAGTATTACTAAAAATAAAGTAAGTTATTAGTAACACTTACTATACTTAATATATTTAAGTTTATAAAATATAAAGTTAAGTAAAATCTTTTTTTAAAACACACTAGTTAGTTATAATCTTTTTAAAATACACTTTAGTAACACTATTGTTTATTACTTTATATATTTCTTATAACGTACTTTATGGGCGAGTTGCTTACACACCTGAGTTGCTTACTTTTGCTAAGACTCTACTACACTACTCTTTTTACACTAATGCATTTCTAACAACACTACTTAAACATGTTAAAGGAATATTAGATGTAGCTTACACTTTAGGCTTTTAAATAAGACGCAACACTTTCTAACTAACATACTGCAGCTATCTACAAGGTCCCTTAAAAGACAATAAGCAACTAACGCGCTAGACAACCTTTCTAAGCTAATTATACAGCTAACTTATAAAAGCTAGATAATAATAAAAAGTAGGTAATTATTTAGCATATACTTAAGCTAGATGCGCAAGGATTTCCCCTTTAGCTAGTAGCTATAGCTAATATAGCTAATTCTTTACGCGCTAAGCGTAATATAGGCTATATTAGCATAAACTAGCTTAATATATTTATTAAGTGTTACCTAGAGCTTAAAGTAAAGTTTAAGTGTAAGTATAACTATAAAAGAGCCTTTTATAAAGATCTTATAGTAATTTAAAGCTAGTTTAACTTTATAAAGAATATTAAAGCTAAGTATAGCATCTAGAATAACAACATGTACAACTTTAACAAAATAAGGTTTATAATAGGCTAGATATCTACTAAAGCAGTTGTTATAGGTTTAGAGAGACAAAGACAGCTAAAAGCAGTCTAGCTAGGCAACTAGGAGTAGACAACAGCTATCTAGGGCATTAATGCTAAAAAGTAAGCTATTTTGCCTTTTATTATCTTTTAAGGTGGCAACTACTTTTTAAACTAGTATAAGAAGGAAAATCTACTCTAAGATTAGGTTATTATAATCTCTAAGCGCAGCTAGACTACTAATTAGCTTAGTTTAGACTAGTTAAAGCACTTTAACGCGCATATAAAAAAGTGTACTGTTAGCAGCTACTGTCTGCTAGTTATTAACAGCTATAAAAGCTACAACTTACTTTATTTCTAGTAATACTATAAGAATAATAAAATTATTACTATTTATATGCCTTTTTACTTATTACACTTTTTATAGCTACTTAATGTAGGTTGTTTTACTCCTTTAAAGAAGGCATATAGGCGCTAAGCTAAAAACCTTATACACAACTAAATTACCTATATTATAAAAATAAAGTTCCTACTATGCTTTAAAGTAGCCTATAATACTATAATTACTTTTAGTAATATCTAAGAAGGGTTCTAAGGCGCTAGATTAGTTTCTTTTAACCTATAACAAGTTATAATAAGCCTTAATGTAAAGTTACGCACTCTATTACTACTACTACCTATATATAATAAGCCCTAGTAGTTATAAACCCTAAGTAATACCTTAGAACTTAAGTTATAATTAATGCTTATAAAGATAAAGATTTAAAAGCATATAAATAGTTTACTAACTTTTATAGTTAAGGCGTTTAAGAAGGTTTTAAAGGGGGCAGCAATAATTATGTATAAGCTAGTGTTAGTGTAACAGGAAATTACTAAGCTTTAAGTAGCTAATAAGGCTACCACACAACATAAATTACATAAAAGAAAGTAGATTAAGGTAGAAGAGACCTTAATAATTTAAAAAAGCCTACGCTTAACAGCTCTAAAGGAGTTTAGAGCGCGCAGTAATAGGAAGAAGGCAAAGAAGCAGGTGCAAGCTAAAGTAGGTAAGCTATCTGTTACAGTCTACGGTTGGACCAGCGTAACTCCACCCAGGATGCTCCACAATATAGTACGGTTGGAGCGGGACTCGCTTACAGACCAAGCGGAGGACGCGGAGGTAGCACGGCTACCTAAGATTATGGAAGAATGCGTTGTCTAATAGGAGGATAGGACACAAATCCTACAAGTCTAGAGGAGCTTAGCAAGCCCTGCTTAGCAGGCTTATGTAGGCTTATCTAGCTCACCTTAGTGTCCTCTACACATGTATATAGTTCCTATATTAAATAACCTTTAGAAAGTGTGTTTAATGTTTAGTTTATTTATTACATAGACTAAGTAGCATTTAGCTTTTTAAAGAGCTGTAATACTATTTATATATCTTACACTATATATACCTCTAACTTTATTTAATAGGACTGTTTAACTCTAGCCTTTTTACTGCTGCATATAGGGCAAACTATAATCTAGTCACTCTCCCTCCCTTTATTAGCCTAATAGCCTGTACATAGGACTGTACACCCTACTAGATTAGCCCCTACTATCTGTCCTACTTCCCCCTTAGGAACATTATAAGACCTAAGTGCTTTCTAAAGTAAAGATTATAACATTAAACACTACCCTTTCTAAAAAGTATAGTAACTTCTTAACATAACTTAGATTCTAACATAGCCTACACTATGCTATTAGAATCTATAGAAGTTCTTACCTAAAGTAAAGCTGTTCTAGTAGAACAGATTAACTTTATCTAGAACAACATTAAAAAACTTTAGTAAATTAGTAATAAAGTTAGCAACTTATTAAAACTTAAGTAAAAAATAGCTAACTTTTACTAAAAAACTATAAGCTTATAAAATCTTCTACTTTTAGTTAACTTTTATAAAGCAACTACTTAAGCCTATTAGATACATAAACTATAAGTAAAACTAGCTAAAGTTTAAAATATCTTAACTAATAAAGTAAGTGTTATAGCTAAAAAGGCTTTAAAACTAGCCTTTTTAAAGCCTTTTAAAAGTTTATTAAAGAACCTCTAACTATTCTTTACTAAATGCTACCTTTATATGTAATATAATAAAGAAGCATTTTAGACTAATGTAAAAATAATCTCCTAGATAGAATTACACTTAAAAGGCCCTTTTATAATCTAGTTTTAACTTTACACTAATAACTAAATAAACTTTAGAGCTAACAGCACTCTACTTAATTCTAAAATAAAAAAAGTATTTAGTAGTGTTAAAAGTTTTAAGGTAGCTTTATTAGCTATCTATAAAACTTTAGATAAAAAAAAAATTATAGCTAACTAACTAAATAATATAAAGCAGGGCAGCAGACTAGTCTAGAACTATACAGCACATTTTAGAGAACAAATAGCCATCTGCAGATAGAATAACTAGAAAGCCCTATGCTACATGTTTTATAATAGACTAAATAATAAAGTAAAAAACAAGTTTATATATATAAACTAACTAACTACTCTTAAAAACTACATTAAGAAAGTAACAACCTATAATAACTATT